GTGGGGGGGGGGGAGCCCGGCAGCCCCCACCCGTTTGTAGCGATGTCCGTAGGGCTGTCCTGCCTTGCTTTTAATTCAGAAAATTGCCTTTTATCTTCCAGGCATCTAATGATGACATTCTGGTATCGTCTTCCGTCCCCCCCCCCCTCCCGTCCCCTCTCCCTCCCGTCCCTCCCGCCCCCTCCCCGTGTCCTCCCCCCCCACCCTGTGTCGCTGCAGATTGAATCTCACAAGCTGACGTTCCGTGAGAAGGCCAAGGCTCGGACAGACCACGGAGCGGAAATCGTCGTCTCCAAACCCCCCAACCTTCCCAGCAGCACCTCCCCCCGGCGCAGCACCTCTGCCAGCGAGAGCCTGGGCTCCGGCGCCTCCCTGTCACCGCTGCCACAGCCGGCTGTCCCCGCCGCGCCCTCCCAGCAAGGCTTGTGACCCCCCGGCCCCGCTCCACGCGCCCCCGAGGACCCAGCTTGGCTCTCTTGACCCGGCCTCTGGCTTTAGGTGGGAAGGGACAGCGTTCCGCAGGGCCGGGGCCGTTCCCGCTGCCCGGGGCGTCCCGGGGGCTCGGCCCTGCCCGGGCTCGGGGGTCCCTCCGTGGCTGGAAGGGGGTTTCCCTCCCTCCCCGCGCCCCGTCCCGTTGGCTGTGGGGGGTCACTCCAGTGGTGGTGTCGCGGTCGGGGCCGGGATCGAGCGGCTCCAGGGCCGTTCCAGTGCAGGGATGTGCCGGGGGCTGAAGCCAGGCCAGAGTTAACAGGGATAAGCTGTGATCTTTCTTTCTGTCTCTTTTTTTTTTACCCCCTTTCCCTCCTCACCGCTTCAGTTGGATGCTGATATAAACCCTCCACACTCGTTAGGCTGTTTTAACTGTTGACTTGAACCTTTTATTCTTTGTGACGACGTGTTGATGATTTATTGTGCTACGAGCCCCGTGCTAAGTTTCCTTTTCTCTTTCCTTCCTTCCCACCCCGTAGCAGAGTTAGGGACATTAACCGCTGCTGCCGTGCTGGCTTCTTACTGACATATCCAGCCATTGTAACTTCCTTGTTGTTGTTTGGGGTTTCTTTTAATATTTTAAACCGATGGAGCGAGTTCATGGGATTAAGCCATGTCTGGAACGAAAGGCACAGGGATGTGTTAAAGGCGAACTTGCTGGGAGAGCTCAGATGGAGCCTGTGTTGACCTCAACGAGATGCTCATAAACCCTCCCCGGGGGGTGCCCGGGGCCTCCTGCGTGTCAGCCAGGGAAAGGTGGTTTATTTATTAACTGGCAGGGCCGGAGCCCTGGGATTCATCCCGGTTTTCCAGGGCCGAGGGCTGCGGGGAGGCAGGAGGCTGCCGTGGCAGCTCAGGTTGACGCAGGCCGGGAGTTCAAGGCTGAAGCAGGTCCTGGGGTGTGAGGGATGTGTGTGTGTGTGTGTGTGCGTGTGTGGTTTTAACGAGGCTGATGATGGATGGGGACCGTCGGGATGAGCAGGAAAGGGCAGCGCCCGTCCCGGGATGGGCAGCGAGCCGGGAGCCCTGGGCTGGGCAGCGGGGCAGGTTTAGTGCCAGGGAGTTGCAGCTCTGACTAGGAAGGAGATTTTTTCCCACTCTTGGAGCTCCTCGTTTCATGTTGCAAATGACACTAAAGAAATGAAATGTAAATAAATTAAAACAGGAGAGAGAAAAAAAAAAAGGTGTTCTTGGGTGGTCAAACTAATTTAAAGACAAAAAAAAAAAAAAAAACAAAGAAAAGCGGAATAACAAAACACTGGGATCAAAGAGAACTGAACCAGGCTGTGCTAAGGGGGGGCTGCTCCAGGAGGGGACAGAGGGAAGCCTGCAGCTTCTCGTGCTTGTGGGAATATTTCTTTGGGAAGCCGACAATGACACGATAACCCGGAATCTGTATTTACACACAAAGATTCTTATTGCACTTGTATTTTTTATATTAAAGTTTGCATGGTTTCTAATAAAATGGCATTAAAATGTACTAGTTTGCATCAAAGTCGTCTGGTAGTTTCATAAGTGCTTTTTCCTCTGAATACAAATTGAAACAATGCAGATTTGCACCTGAAAGGGGCGGTTATATATACCCTGGAGCCCTCCCAGTGCTTCCTTCCCTTCCTCCTCCTCCTCCTCCTCCTCTTCCTCCTCTTTCTTCTCCTCTTCTTCCTCCTCTTTCTTCTCCTCCTCCTTCTCCTCCCCATCTCTCTGCTCCCTCTGTGCCACATCCCTCTAATCCCAAACGGGGAGCGGTCCATCGCTCCCTGCCCTCGTGTTGTCCGTGTGTGTTCCCAGCACTAATCCCAGCCCTGGCTCCGGCAGGAGAGGCTGGAGCTGGGGCCGGTGCTGCCCGTCCCCTGTGGCCCCACCCCGGTATATATCACTGCCCTCCCGCTGGCGCTTCCTTCTTTCTCTTACTGCTAAATTCTCAACACCAGCTTCAGCTTGTCAGTCTGGGCTTTGGTTTGGTTCCTTTTTTTTTTCCGACACTTGAATCCAGGGGAAGTTTGGAGGAGAGGGACTGAGGAGAGGAGAGGAGAGGGGCAGGCTGAGCCCCTGGGCAGGACGGGGCAGGGGCTGTATTTCCCAAGCAATAACGCCCGTGTGCTCCGGGCCAGGGCTGCCAGGGGCTGCTGGGAGTGTCCTGAGCCTGCACGGTGAGCCTGGAGCCGGCATTCCCTGCCTGGATCCCGGTTTCCCTGGGAAGGGGCCGGAGCCACCTCCAGGCTCACCGAGCTGGCACCGGGGTTTGTGCCGATGGGCAGCGGCCGGAGATGCTCGTGGGTAACCAAAGAGGAGGTGGAGGCTGAGATGTCGCGTCCCTCTCGCTGCTGTGCCCGGGGCACCCCGGGAGGAGGCTCCCTGGGTGCCCCGGGATGAGATTCCCGGGTGGAGAGGGAGGCAGCCGGGGCCCGGCCGCGGTTCAGGTGCTGCAGGAGGAAGGCAAGTGGCAACATTGCACTTTATCTTCTGAGATTGCAAAAAAAAACAAACAGCAAACGAGCCCCCGCCCCCTGCAAAGGGACAGCGACATCGCCTCTCCCCTGCACTGCTTTTATCCCATTTCCCGACTGCTGGGCAGCCCTGGATGAGGGTTTGGCATCCAGGCCTGTCCCTGCCCGACACAGCCCCCGGCCCAGCTGCCCCCACCGGCCTGTGCTTCTGTGCCACTTCTCTAACACTTGTTGTGCCTGTGTTTAGCTGACGAACTAAATCCGGATACATTAGTTTGCTGTGGTGTTTCTAGGACAGCTTCGGGTTTAATATGGATTTCTTTTTTTTGTATTTTCTCTTGAGGAAGCGGCTGTACATATTGCTGGGAAGGAGCCGTGTGTGCTGGAAATGGCTTTTCCTCTCTGGAGAGGTGGGGTGAGCTGGGTGGTGCCGAGACCTGCAGGGACGCTGCTGGGTGGGGAAGGGGCCGGCGGCTCCACCGAGGGCTGGAGGGCAGCACATTTGGGGAAAAATAGGAGTTGTGGTCTGAATTAGATGCGAGTTGAATGTACGTGTTCCTGTCCTGAGCTGGCGCTGGGGGGTCCTGGCTCTGCAGGGGTGGCTGAGCTGGGCTCAGGCCGGGCCAGAGGCTCAGCCAAGCCCTTCCCGGAGCTCAGGATGAGGGCGAGTGGCGGTTTGGAGGTGTCTGAGCTGCTGAAGGGATGGGGAGGGAGCAGGGCCGGGCGGGAGCTCCATCCCGGCTGGGGTCCCTCCAGGCAGGAGCCTCCCCCCTTTCCCGCTGCTCCGCTGCCGGAGCCCGGCGTCTCCCTGCATATCAGTGGCATATACAGTTACTTCGGGCTTTTTATACTGTCAAACGAGTACATTCGAGTAACAAGTTTGTGGGCTTGAGGCCGCGGGAGCGGCTCCGCTGCCGCCCCAGGCCGTGGCTGCCGTGGGCCGGGTCCTGACCGCAAACTGAATGTAGTTTTGTACGCTGACCCCCGGTGTCGTCCCCGCGTAGTGTCGGTGTGAGGGGGCTCTGGGACCCCCCCCGTGTTCGTGTCGTTTAGGCAGAATTTCTAGTTTTCTCGGAGCTTGGTGGCGGTGACACCCTCGGGGGGACGGGGCGTCCCCGAGGGGAGGGCCGAGCCCCCCGGAGCCGCTCGCGGCCGTCGGTGCTGCCCCCGCCAAAGGCAGGAGCTGGGGGGGCCCGGCGGCCTCCAGGCTCGGGACAAAGGTCCCCCCAAAGCCCTCCTGGCCCCGGGATCCCGCGGGGGGGATGCGGGAAACGGCTCCGGGAGGCAGCAGTGGGAATGCTCGGGCTCTCCTTCCTCCTCCCCGCTGAACTCCGGCCGAGTGAGCGTTTCGCCCTCCCTCCCGCGGGTCTCGCCGGCCGCCAGCCGCTGTCCGGGGCGGGATCAGACACGAGGCTCCATCGCGCACCCGCTGTGCTCGTCCCACCTTTGGCATCACCCGCAGCTTCCATTGCCCCGTCCCGTAGGAACACCGAGTCAGGAGCGAGGGGGAGCGGCCGCGGGTGTCGGACACGGGACGGTGTGAGCAGAGCCGAGCTCGGGGCGCAGCGCCGGGAGGGTGGTCCCGGCTCGGGGCTCCCCCCGCTAAACCTCTCTGCCTCAGCTCCCCACCTGCACGGGTGGGGGTGACACTCTTTACCTCACCGGGCTGTCGTGAGGCGTGAGCAGCGTGTGGCGTGTTCTCATTGTGACGTGTTACTATTATTTGTGTCATAGGATTGTTCTGCAGGGGGTGCCCGAGGGGGCAGACACGGCTGTCCCTGGCAGGGGGAGGGCAGTGCTCGGTGTGAGACAACAGCTCTGGGGGGTGGGCTGGGGCAGAGCCCCCCTGCCCGGGGGGACCCACCCGTTTGGTTCTGCCTCTGTGTCTCACCCTCCCCGAGGGGCTGTAAGACCGTCGTCTCCTTAGCAACATTTCCTGACTTGATGTTGTGATTCTTACTATTGTAAAGGGTTGAAATAAAGCTTCTAGATGTTCCTCCTCAGCTTGGGCCTGAGTCTGTGGGGGTGGGAAGGCCGGGCGGGGCGTGGTGGCACAGTCAGGGGCACCTGAGGTGCTGCGGGCACGGGAAGCCATAAAGAAGGGGGGGGGGGGGGGGGGAAGGAATTCGGTTGGATCCGATTCCTTCAGCCATGGGAAAATCCCCATCCACGGCTTTGCTCCTCAGGCCTGGGATCAGAGGGGAGGAGGGTCCTGTGGGCACCCCCTGGGACCAGGGAGAGCCCTTGGTGCCCGTGGCAGTGTCACGGCCTGGGGGGTCCCTGCAGCCCGTCCCTCCTGGCTCCTCGGAGTGGCCCGTGCCAGGCCCTGCACACACCGGTGACCAGAGGGGAACCCCGAGGGGCCACCACCCCTCACAGAAGGTGCCCCCGGCCCACTCTTACAAATAAAGGGAAGGTTTTGCACCCTGGCTCAGATTCACACACGGGACAGACACAACCTGGGACCCTACAAAGCATCTGGACCCGAGGTCGGGGGCCCTGAGCAGCAGCAGCTCCTCTGCCCCTCCTCGAGCCCTGCCCTGGGACCAGAGCCCAGTTCTGGACACCGACTGTTCCTGAGCACTGGGGCACACTGGGCCGGTTTGCCCGGCCGTACCAGCCCAGGACACGCTCTGGCACTGCAGGGTTCCTGTGTCCTGCAGCTGCTGGGGTGTCTGTGACCCCACAGCGACCCCTCAGCCCGTCACAGGGGGTCCCACAGTGCCAGATGCCCTCCCCACCCATCTCACACCCCACTCTGCACCTCTCCCACGAGAGAGGCGGCCAAAGAAAAGGCACAAAATTCCAGACTTTGCAGTAAAAAAAAATAAACAGCAAAAAAGAATGAAGAGGACAGAGGCAGTTCCTACTCTATCCCTTTTTATTGTCTTTAATCTATGTTGTAAAAAGATCCAGTATCACATAACAGCCACGGAAGTATCCCAATATCACACTAGTTCGGAACCATTTAGACAATAGCTTAGTCTTTTTTTTTTTTTTTTTTTTGCCTTTTTTTCTTTTTTTTAAACCTGCTGGAAGGGAAAACCATACTGCCCATTATACAGGCCAAAAGAAACAAACACTGGTCAAATAATAGTGACAACCTCAAGCAAGTGAAATGAAGATGAGAAGTTTTGAGTGACCCCAGGCTGCAGGACTCCGAGGGCCCCTTGTGCTGGCACAGGGCACAGTGCCTTAAAGCCCATGAGCAGTAAATTAAATCAGAGAACTGGGAGAACCAAAGGGGGGCCCCAGGGCTGCTCTGCCGTTGTTCCAGGGGCAGGAACGGCCTCGCTCCCCCTGCCCGGAGCAGCGCCCGGCTGGGCCCTCGGGGCCCTCAGAGCCCACCACCTCTGCTGCAGATACAAAGAGCATAAGAAATGGGAATAAAAAGGAATGACCCCAGGCCCGCGGGCCCCTCCAGCGCCGGGGGCACAGCCCTCGCGCCCCGAGTCCCTCCCGGTACAAACACCAGCGAAGCCTCACAACAGCCCTGTGAGGTAGGTCCCTGTCTTACGGACAGAGAGTCCAAGGCAAAGCTGAGATTAAACTCCAGACTTCTCGTTGAGTGCTGTGCCTGTCGCGATCCTCCTTCCACGGAAATATGGTCCCTGTTCGTAGAAAACAAAGGTCTGTGCCTGCGCTCCCGGCGTCCCGCGGGCAGCCCGGCAGCTACAATCACGTCCTGTGTGCACAAGTGACAGGGAGCGGCCCCCTCGACGGAGGGAGAGCGGGAAAGTTAAAAAAAAATCATAGTAACAACGCAAGAGGACGAGAAGTACAGGCAGGTTGGGAAGGACGAGCCACATCTCACACTCGTGACGCCACGACCCAGGGCTGGCAGGGCCCCGCTGGCAGGCTCGGAGATCCCCATGGAATGTCACCTCCATCCGGCGCCTTCGGGGCTTCCTCCCCTCCGGGGCGCGTGGAGAGTGGAGAGACGGCGATCCCTGCGCCGGAGCTGCCGGATCCAGGCTCGGCCTGGCACGGATCCGTCCTCGTGGTGAGCCCGGAGGAGCTCTGGCAGCGGAGC